CCCGCACCCGCACCCGCACCCACACCCACACCCACACCCACACACACACACACACACACACACTCGCATCACACGACTCTCATGTAGCACAGATTCTTCTGAAGATGGAATGGCACAAACCCTGCTTGGTCCTTCCAGCTTCAGCCCCACACGAGGCCCGGTATCCGCCCGGCCAGCACTGCGGATATGGAGGGTGCCCCAGCCGGGATTGCTCGGGAGCAAGACAACGTGGATGCGGACTTGCTACGGACGGGCTAGAACGGGAGAGGTTCATGATTCCTCAACCCAGCTTTGTGCAAGTGTATTACCGTCCTGCAACGCATTGCAAGATGTAGCAGTTCTGCATATTGAGGCCATGTCAACGTCGTGATGTCGTTGGCTCGAGCTGCGGCCATGCGAGTGGAGTTGAATTGTCAAGTTGTAGGCATGCAACATGCTGATTCCAGACGGAATGTCGGTTTGGGCCAGATATTGCAATATCTACCAGAAGAGGATGAATGGAGACGTACAGTTGGCTGACTAATTAATTAGACAGACAGATGGACAGAAGCGTGCAGGCGCATTTGCACAGATGCGCATAACTTGTAGATGCCTGTTACGGAAAAGGCCTGTGTGCTGATCGGCCGCCTCCTGCCATGAACTTTGACACTCAGCGCGGGCTTACAGCGCCGCTAAGTCAAATCGTCTTCGACCAATACTCCAGCGATGGTCGTGCCTTGACTGTCAGGGGATGCCTACACAGCCTACGATTGGGGGTGAAGGACCTGAACTTGGGGTGAAGTGTCCTGGGAATGCAGGTTAGGCATTTGCCCTGTCAGGTGTCTCAGCACAAAGGCAGAGCCAACGGGTTGGGTGCTACAGGAGCTGCTTGTTGGTCACATGCCCCCGAGCTGCTCCAGGAATGTCTTTCGAGCAGTTCAAGCGCATGTGCAGCGACAAGGAGTTTTGCGAAGACATTGACGAGACGAAGCTGCAACTCAGTGAGATTCTGAAAGCTGTTGAACTACATGTGTCAGGTATGCACAGGAATCCACACAGGTAGCGTGTCGAGTTTTACAGCAGAAGTTCGGAGAATCTATACAGAGAAGTTTGTGCCGCACGCGACGGGTGAGACCATGATCCATGATCAGGAAGACGAGATGGCGACAGCTTTTGTCCGCATGTCTGGAGAGCCTTCCGCCGCGAATCAGTGCAGTCTTGAGGGCGGTGACCATCCGCGACATGAAGATTGCGTGGTTCATGCTTTTTCAGGCATCAGCTGTCCAGTGACGAAGTGTTCCACGAAACAAAGGTCCAGTGGCATTGAATACTCAGAGTTCCTGGCATGGTGGAAGCTGCAAGACGAGCGCCAGAAGGGACTGAAGTTCAAGTCGACGGAGGAGCAGCGTCATGTCCAATCGTCTTGTCAGTGAAGCGCTTGCACCTCTTTCGCCCGTGTTGCAAGATACAAGTGACTCCAGCGTCATAGACCTCATCGAACCTTCGGCCTAGCCTCGTCCTTGTGGCTGATGAGCATCATTGCCAGAGTCTGTCACATCACAGATGTTTGACTGTCAGTAGTGGCCGAGTGTTCCAACTCGGCGATCAGTTCTTCTGGAGAGCAGAGCCAATCAACCGGCTGTCCTATACAAGCTCATCACAGGAGAAAGAGTTCGTCCAACGAGTGAAGAAGTCGTTCTTCCAGGGCACAGGCGGCTGTGCCAGGCCCTTCTGACTTGCAGTCTTCTCTGCTAAGCTCTGGTGTTTGGGCTCCGCGACCGCACCTCCATTTCTAAAGTTCGCCAATCACGGCATCCATTGTTTCGGTGGTGTGTCGCCTTGTTGACTGATGCTCCCGTCCGATGCAATCAAAGTTTTTGAGACTTTGCCGGAGATAGCCCACGTTGCATCCGGTTTCAATTTGACAGCCCATGAGAGGATGGACATCCTCGACTTCCAGCAGAAGTGCTACGTGAATGGCTACTGCCTGAGCGAGGAAGAGCTAGATGAGGCACCAGCGTTTTGCACCTGCCAATTGAGATGCCAGGGAGGCTCTTTGGACTTTGTGACAGTGGCCACAGCATACACAATGAAAGGAAGGTTATGTGAGCATGCTGGCGGTGGGGTGGGTTGGAAGCAAGCTCCAGCTCTTTTTTTTGTTTTGCTCGGGCTGTTTTAGCATTGTTTGACTCAGCAGGGCTGAAAAAAGCTTTGTGGCCTGAGCGAAACGTGGGCCTTGAAGACATCGCCTGCAGAGGCCTTCGCTGAGTTGGACAAGGATGGCTCCGGATATATCGACTTTCCTGAGTATCTGCGCTGGCGGCAGGAGCATGGGATGACGTGCTCTGTGCCAAGTACCACGTACTGTGACAGCAGGGCTCAGTACTCTCAAACTTGGCCACGCTACCTCCTATACATCACCTGACACTACAAACCATTGGACCATGCCATAGAGCCATGCTCTACATGCTTTGCCAAAGGGCTGCGTAGTACGATCACATCTCCATCCTAGCAGCTCCGAGCATTCACTTCAAGTGTAGGCTCAGCACTTCAGCCAGGTCAGAGCCGGTGTGTCTTTTCATGTCTTTCCCTGTCCACAGGAGGATGACCGGTTTTCGCATTTACTGCATGATGCCAGCGACCAACACTCGCAGTATATCCACCAGGTATTGCGCCCTGCATAGTACCCTGGGATTTTCGGGATAAGGTTTGGGCAGGCTCCGCCGAAGTTTTGGCAGTTTCGATTGGTGTCTTCACACCTGCTCCTGGAAATGGTTCATTTAAGGTCGGCGAGTTTTTCCGCGCGTATGACGACGCCTGGCTTCAAAAAAAAGTATAGCGGGGCACAGCGGGGGAGATTTGCGAGCATGCCCTTCACCTGCATTGACACACGGTTCGCATGGCGAAACCACTGTGACACACAACCGTTTGTTTTGCGTTTGAGTTTAAGAGTGAGTTTCAGGGCGAGTTGGAAAGTGAATGCCACAGTGCGTCTGTGTTGAAAGTGAGTTTCGGTCTGAATTCTGGCCGCCGTCTCGTGGGTCTTGCTTATTCCAGAGTGAGTTCTAGAGCGAGTTCCGGACTGAGTTCCAGAACCCACGACGACTTAACAGTGGAACTCACTCAAGAGTTCACTCTGATACACGAAACCGCAGCCTTTCACCCCGGAACCACTCCAAAAATGCAGCTTAGAAGCAGACGCACCCATGGAATTCGCTCATTGTAGAATCTTGCTGTGATGGGTGCTGTTGTGTATATGTCGGATGTACGAGCCATTGCGGCTTCCTGTGGAGATCTGCGGAACACTCCTGTCCCAAATCAAGATGCAGCAAGGTTGTTTGTAGCTGGTTGGGCAGGCTGGGACTTGAATTGCTCGAGTTGTGGGGGCCCTGGACATGGCACTCTTGCCTGTTAGGTTTCAGGCTTTGATCTCAGGATCCAGCCAGCATGGAAGCCAACACACAGATTCTTCCGGCGGTTCTTCGCTTGTGAGTAAGATGTCCGGCATATCACGGCGGCAAGGGTTTGCTTGTCAAGAGAGGGCTCCACGGTTGACCGAGCATGTAAGGAGGAGTTAACCGGACAGCTCTCAATTGAGCAGTTCCGACCTCTCTACGACAGCCTCGTCGAACAAGGGGAGGTTACTGAAGACTTCGACAAAGCCCCTCGGACTTCCGCAGTCTCAGTTTCTGTGATCAAGTTTGAACTTGTGTGTTCTTTCACCGGAGCTTAGGTCATCCTGGAGGTCGACTCGAACTCGGATGGCTGTGTTTCCTTGAACGAGTTCATCAAGTGGTACGCCACAACTTGGGAAGACCCTGCAGAAAGCGACGAAGAGGACCCCTGACGCGAGCACCGCTCTGTGCCCCGCGTCCAAAAGTCTTTCCGGCGTTTGTACAGCCATCGCACCGACGCCTCAGTCAACCAGATCCTGAAAGCACACGTCATCATCGCCATCACCAAGACTTGTTGATAGCAGATCAGATCTGTCTTTACGATCCGAACGGAAAGTCCGAAGACGTGCCAGGCAGCGCAGTGCGTGGCAAGTCAATCGTCCTTGAAGAGGCAGTGTTGAAAAGTCGGAGAGGCTGTGACCGTAGCAGCTGTAGCACAGATTCAGCTGATGTTTTGAACGTGCGGCGGAGGGGCATCATCAAACGTCATGCTGATCCCACGATTCGAGCGTACTGGATCTGCTGACCGAAGGAGGTGACTTTCGCGGGTCCTGGGCTGAGCAGCTTCATCGAAAGCCAGCGGGAGGCACTCGGGGTATATCGGGGGCATGTACTTTAGAATTTTAGAGCCTGCAGGCGCTCTCTCGGCAGCGCCAGCTGCAGGCTCGTCCAACGTAACATGCTGGGGGTGCCTAAGCTCGCGAGACTGAACCTGTTTCGAGGCGTAGGACCGCCCTGCACATGCGATGACTGCGGCAGGCACCGGAGCGTGAAGCAGTGCCGAGCAAGGCCTATGTGGAGAAGGTTCCCCACTTCCTTGATTTGCTTGGTGCTTCCCTTATTCTGTTGTCTGCTGGTTACCATGGGTTGCTGTTTTTGTGTTGTCGTTCGTGCCTTCTCGGTTCGGAGTCCTGCTCGACCGGCACAGGACTCCGCCGTCAGCAACGGACTTCACCCAAAGCCGAGCATGCCCGTCTGTCACTCAGTCGAAACACCCCGGATGATGACTGATCGAAACAGAATCTTGCTACTGCACGGTCGCATGCCGAGCCAAACGGCTTATCCTGAAACCGGTCGAGATGCAGGCGAGTGCTGCAGGGTCGCCAGAGCTGTGGCATGCAGCCAGGGGCCCAGCTCAGATTGCAGAGCCGAGGTTGCAGATTCTAGGAAGCCCGGAAGGGGACGGCACACCCAAGGTCCACATTGGCAATGAGGCTTTGGTGAGTCGTCTCATTCAACAAGGCCAGTGTAATGGCGGGGCCCTCATTGCTGCTCGGGTCTGGCCGCTTCGTATTCCGAGGGCTGAGCAATAATAACTAATGACAATTATCAATGATTAATAATCATTAATAATAAAGGTAATAATAACTCACCATAGATAGTGGACCACGGTCGGTCATGCCCGAGCTGAGGAAGGCAGAAGGATGCCTCGGGACACTCCGTCCTCTGGCATGCGATCGCCTTTGGTCACATAGGCCGTCGGGAGGGTGCGTCAAAGTTTTGATGCCTGTTCTCAGTGTGGAGTCCAGGGCAATCGTGCAAGCCTGCCAGACCTGGCAGGGATCGCTCTTCTGATGTTGGATTCTTGTCCCGCTGGTGAGCCGGTGAATCCTGGCACGCTTGTCCAGTGAAGTCGGGCTGCGAGCATCAGTAGCGACCTCTGCTGGAAGTTTGTGCATCAGGCTCGGCTCCGTTAACGAACCCCTTGCCCTTCGGGCTGGGGATTTCCTACATGTCTGCCTGCATCCCATAGCCAAGCACTTGTCGATCTTCGCGCGTGATATCATCTCCGGCGTTCACGCGCAACCCTGGCTCAAACACGAGCGGAGCCAAGACTCACACCTGTAAGTAGTAGCATTCGTCGAAAATGTAGCTTGGGCCATGCCTTCCCAAACAGCACCTCTAAACTGCAACAGCGTTGTGCCTTACAGCCAGGTTGAAAACAAGACAGTATCACTGGGGTTGCGTTTCATCTGACGACGACTCTTTAGATCCCATCCGCCTGGAGATGTGCAGACCTCAGTTTTCGAAAAGAGGCTGACCAAGTCAAGGCGGAGGATATTTGAGTACTTCAAAGATGCATGCTGCAGCCGTTTAGGAGGAGTCCGCATTGAGGCCTCTCTGGCAGCCGAATGGGCGATGAGGACTTCTGCGAAGAGGGTAAGTTGCTTAGGCTGCCGAGCTGTCGTTGCGTTGCAGTGAGTCAGATCTCACTGATGATGTCTTGTGTTCTTGCACATAAAAAGTGGTCGTTTGCTTGAGTGTCACAGCGCGGGTGTGCACAAGCCTGAAATGCGATTCACTTTCGGTGTGAAGCCTGGCCTGTGCTGCATTGATTCGATATAGCATAGAGTTCAAGAGCAGCAAGCGGCAATGTGTCTGTGTGTGTGTGTGATGCTCACAGAGTGCTCAGCCTTCTCCCGGGCAGCGCGAGGCTTCCGTTGTCACATAGGTCGTTTGTTCGTCCTTGCGCAGTGCTTAAACGGAACACGTTGAAACTCACAAGACATGAGGGAATGCATGGAATGCCAGGTCTTTAGCTGTAAAGTGTCATGCTATTTTCCCCGTATGGCTTGTGACCAAGAATCCAAAATTGCATTATTCGATGTGCAGCTTGTTCTGTCTTCTATATCTTGCTATCTATCTGTGCCTCTGTGTGTCTGCACGAGTGGGCAGGAAGCAGCCGATGTGCCGAGTCTCGAGTCCATACTGAGGCAGGTCTAAGCCTAAGAGAGGGTGGTCCTTCGTGGACTTGAATCGCTTTCAGCATGGAGAGTCAGCAGAGCTTTGGCGGAGTCATGACCTGAAAGCAAGCAGGCACCATTCAGTCGACTCTTTATTGGGGTATTCTGAGGTGGTCAGCGCTGTGAGGGCTCCGTGGTCTGCCTTCTGAGTTCCCGAGTCTCCCTTCCTGAACTCCCTGGGGCAGTGGCCGGAATCTGGTGTCTCTCTGGTCCCAAACAAAGGAACACGGAAAGGACAACTGACATAAGTCATCATTTAATTGGGCCCTGGCCGTCACACTTTGGGTTCTACATGGTTCTACTGAGGCTGCTTTCAGAAAATCGTTTCTGCATTGCTCCGCGTGCCTGACGGTTTCTGTGTGTGTAGAAAATTTTCTATGTCGGTGCTGCGGTAGTTTGCTGGAGGAGAATTCCGACGGTTCACGCCGTAGGAAGGTGGCCGGGGTTATGAGACGAGAAGATGAGACAGAAGCAAACTGCTCGACCGCAACTCGAGAGAATTTGCCTAACAAGAAAGAGCCAGTTGAAACGGATTAGACAATTTGAGAAACAGGACATTCAAGAAGCACACCGCTCGAAAGAGACTCGAGTATGAAGAAGAGGCACAAACCACGTGCTTGAAAGAGACTTGCAAACAGGTTCAGTGACTCGAAAATTTAACGAACTCAAAAAAATGAGAAAAAGGAGCAAAGCAGTGGAAAGGGTTTAGAAGAAGTTGAGACAGAGGAGCAAGCCAGTTGAAAGGGACCACAAAGCTCGAAAGGACGAGCAAACAGCTTGACTTGAGAGAGACGGTTATTCGGAAAAGGATTGGAGAACCCGACATATGTTTACACAGAGAAGCTGTTCGTTCAATATGACAATGAGGAGAATTGAGAAAGGGGAACAACCTCGTCGACCAAGGGATTAGGAAATTTGAGAAACAGAAGCAATCTGCTCGAAATGGGCTAGAGAGTTTGACAAAGTAACCCAGTCGAAAGAGAGCAGAAAACGCGAGAAAAAGAACCACATTGCCCGAGCGCGACCAGTGACTGGAAACTTTGGGAGCCAACGCTGGACAATCTGAGAACCAGTAGACAAGGGGTCAGAAAGAAATTGAAGAGTTTGAGAAACAGCAGAATATGAGAAAGCGCGAGTAGAAAAGGCCCACAATGTCTGAGAAACAGGAGCAAACCGCTCAAGGGAGACGGGAGCACGTTACAAAGGGGAATCTGAGTAAGATGAGCGACAACTTGACAAGCAGGAGCAAGCCGCTCGAAAGGGACTTCAGAATTTGATAAAGAGGAGATTTTGATAAAGAAGGGCAAGCCCTTCGAAAGGAACTGAACCCCTGAGAGGCCGCAACAAACTGCTCTAAAGAGACTAGAGACTGTGAGAACGAGGAGCCTTTGAGAAGGATCCGGAAGCAGCAAGTTGAAGGAGACTAGAAAATTTGCAGAACAGGAGAGAACCGCTCACGAAGTCAAAAACGGTGATACTTGGAGAAAGAGGAGGAAACCAGTCGAAAGTGGTTCACGAATCTGCAAAATGGTAGCAAGCTCGCAGCCGCCACTCAAAAGAGACAGGAGAGTTTGACGATTGACAAAGATGAGAATCTGAGAACGAAGTGCCAACCAGTCGAAAGGGACAAGCACATTTGAGCAAAACGGGACAGGCCGCAAAAAAGCGGGTAGAGAATCTGTGTCCCCCGTTTGCCTCCCTTCATTTGAGACCGGTGGGAAGGCCAAGATTTTCCGCACTTGTCTCCCCTCGTCTCGCTTCCGTCCCCAAGCAGTAGGACTTCTTGTCATTTCCCCAAACAGTTTACTGTAGAGACTCTTGCTAACTGAGAACGAGAGAGTGCCGGCGTAGGTGGCCAATGCCGGACTTTTTGACGCTTGTCTCCCTTCATCTGGAACCGGTCAGGGTGGCTGCTGCAGGGGTTTCTAGCCTCTTGCAGCTTGATTTTTTCGTTAATTCCCTAAGCGAGCCTAAACGTCGATGCAATCAGTCATCCGTTTGTATCGGTGTTCGTGCAGTGGACAAAACGGCAGCTCAAGCTCCAGACTAGAAGTAACCCGTATGCACTTCCCAGCACTTCACATGGCATCCGGCAGGCAGATCGATCAGCTTGAACTGGCGGATGCCAAGGCAGCTGGAAAAGGCGCAGCCAGAATGCAAGCTGGAGGGCTGCAGGGTCAGCGTCAGGACGCTGTAGGAGACAGGACTGGATCATATCTGAGGCCTGCACTAGCTTTGAGACTTTGACAGGCAGAGGCCCTGCCGTGGTGGTGGAAGCCAATCCAGCTTTGCACAGGTAGCGTCCAGACTGCTTGCACACGTCGTGGCACACATGCATAGCATGCTGTAGAAAATATCGAAAATCGTGGCCACGGCAGAAGTCGTTCAGGAGTACTCCGATACCTCTTGGAGCTTATGTCTGACCCAAGCAGAGCCCTGCTGGAGGAAAGGTGTGTCTGTTTTCCATGTTAGCTTCTGCGAAATTTTCAGTGTGTTCATGTGTGATGGGTGCCGAATCACACCTCGAGCTCGCTGGTTTTTATTTTCTCTGTGCTGTGGGGGCGGTAACTCGAGGGCTCGTGACTGAGGCTCCAGCAAGCAATGTTGTTCTAGTCGGATAACTGATAACCCATTATGTACCGTTGAGCACCGAATCTCTGTCGAGACAAGCGGATGTCTTCTTGTGCAAGGTTGTTTCACCCGGCACAAACACATCTGTGTCGACCATGGAAAGGTCTTCGGCAGTCGCAGTCGCCAGACACAACGCATCGAGTGTGGGTGTGGATGCCAGGTTTTGGTTTGTAAGTCAGCCCCGTCGAACGTCCACCTGGTTCCGCGACCAAGAAGGAAGCAGTGGTACTACTGTGTCATGAAACACCAGGTCTTTGTGTCTGCCGCTTCCAGGCAGCCTGGGTCGTTGCATCCTCGAGGGCTGCCACGTGTCTACCCCAGCAAAGGCGGGAGAAGGGCTGCTGTCTGCACCAGCCTTTCAGGAACTGGGGGCTTGTCTTTGCTGGTGACTTTCTCACAGACAAGTTGGCCTTCCTTCGACACTCACCTTATCCTGCTGTCTGGGAGGCGACAAGAAGAACGCAGGCGGGTTTCTTACATTCGGAGGTGTAGCTGTGCAGGGAGCATGATCCTGGGATTCACGCAGATTTTTCTTTGAGGTGCCTTCGCCGGCCTTTTCCGAGACGAGGCCAGGCCTATGGAAGCGATTCCGAGGCTTTGAATCACGTCTGGTCACTTGTTGCAATGCGGGCAAAGAACAGGCTTGGACGGGTGTTTTGCGAGTGTGTGTGGCATGCTGCTGTCGAAGGAGGCGCATGGCGAGTCCGAGATCGGCCGTGGTGAGGCTTGGGGCGGAGTTTCTGACGATAGGTTGTTTCGGATCTGATATATATATATGATTCATATGATTATTTTCTCGCCCTGTCTGATGCCGCTTGAGTTGATACTCATAATCAGGTCGGCCACATGGACACGAGGTGTCAGAAGTTCTCTGGGTGAACCGACCCGGCGGTCAGTGTCCAGGTCGAGCTGAAGCCTCGCCCAGCGGCTGATGCCGCTTGGAAGGCATGTGTGGGGTCGGACGCCGGAAGAGCTCCAGGATGTTACATCTGACTTCCAGAGTTGTTGCTGGTCTGCGACAGATCTCAACACCTCCATACTTCACCATGCCCCTCGCCTCGCCTCGAGATGTGCAGGCCGACTCGGTGCATGCCTGGGCACCGCGCAAGCCCCTCGCAGCCTCCCGGGCCTTGGGCTCGGGAGTTCTTCCCGATACGTCGGACGCGATGCCCCTAACGCCCCTAAACCCTGAGGACTTCAAAAAGGAGATCCCTGGCATGAAAGAGGCTGAGCCAGCGAAGGTGAGCCCTCGGAGCTTTGGCAACTTCTCGGGCACATCTGATTTGAAGCCATGGCAGAGGCACCGAAGCGGCGGCCGCTCCTGTCTGCCCCGCTGAAGGCCTCCGTCAAGTAGTGCCTCCGCTGCTTCTCGCCGTGCTTTTGACGTGCACGCTTCATTTTGCCGCAGGCTGGGAGCCAGGTCGAGCTGCGAGGCCCGAAATGCAGTTGGCGCCGCAGCGTGGTGATGCACCTGACGTGCGCCTGTGACCACAGAATACTCGTCGGTGTCATAGACTGGTAGCTGTACGCTCGCACCACCACCACCGCCACCACCTCCGCCACCAACAGCGCGCCAGACGTGCGTGGAAGATGTCCTTGAGCGGTATCCTTCAGGATCCAGTGTTGTTACGTGGCAAAAATCTCTCAGCTAGGGTCTTGAGAACATAGCTCACTGATGCTCTCTGCTACTGAGATGCCGACAAAAGCATTCAGTGTGCTGTAGCCACAGCGGCAGAGTGACAGCTGGAGGCCTCGATGGCTTCTTGGCAGACATGAATGGCCAGAGGTGTACCCTGGAGGTCCGGCAGATATTTCCACATGCTTGCTCACAGCTTCAGATGCCTTCGTGGATTCTGCAACTCCAAAGAAAGCCTCGAGAAGTCTGAGCGGCCGCAGAAGTCCGGCCAAGTTTATGTCTTTCCCACGAAAGGGCTTCGACGAAGAGACAAGCACCTACTTCGTGCGCCTGCCATCCAAGCACCTGGAGGACCGATCCCTGCCCTCGTCGGATGCCTGCGAAAAATTGTCAGACTTCGGCCAGTCGCTACTTTGCCTGGACCCTTCAGATTCCAGGACTACAAACCCCGCAGTACCCCATGGCTCTGCATAGCCCAACCGCACAGCTGGCAGTCTGTGGCGCCCGAGAATGTCGCCCTGCTGTGAGAGCCGAGCCGCGGGTGGCTGCGGAGACTTAGCTTCTTCTCAGCACCAAGACTGCGCAGGAAAAATTGCAGTCCGATCGTTGGCTGGAACACATACTGAGACTCCACAACCGGGAATGCTCAGCTGTATCTGCAGATGGTGCAGTGTGACGTCAGTTTAGATCACCGATCGGTGGCCTAGCAGTGGCGCTGGCCTTGCATACCACTTCATGGCAGGGTGGCGTTGATGCTTCGGAGGCCCCGTCGTCCTTCTCTTGTACGTCTCCCTTGCCTCAGGCAGCAGGTTGGCCCAGGCCATGATCCGCAGCGCCATCTATAGAGTCATGAACTGCGATGCTGCCAAATGGGCGCTTGCACCGCATTTCTTCAGGGCAGGTTCACGGCGCTAATTGGTCATCAGGCACTTCGCGTTTCAGCCTTCACCCTCCTCACTGCCAGCCGTGAAGGTGCATCCTCGCAAAGGAGATACATTTCTGCATCTTCTTTGCCAGTGCAGGCACGGCGCGGAAATCTCGCCTGGGCATCATGCACCTATTGAAGAAAGAGTCTTGCTGATGTGTATTGTAGCACGGTTGTGATCCAAATAGCATGGTGCTCTGTGCATTAACAGGATCCGAGCGGCATTGGCTTTGGTAGTTGCTGGTCCATGTAATAACTAGCTCTGCATTTGGATGAACAGGCTTAGACATTTAGACACATGAGACGTTCCTTTGGTGTCTCAGACAATTCGACCTGGACTTCGGTAGCTTAAAGACGTGTTCATTGTGCTTTGGAGTCTGTCGACTCTGTTTAGTGAGCATGTCATAATTGCTTGGCAACTTACCAACTTGACTCGTGTTATGAAGCATGCCCTGGCGAACATGTTTGGGGGTACTGCCTTGGCGAGGCCCTTTACAAAAGAGACTGCTGGCCTGTTCAAGCGGGTGGCTGAAGCAGTCCCGGCAGCTCTCTTCAGCAAGGTTGGGCCTGCCAAGAGAGTGTTGGGGCTCTGAAGTGGGTTGCGCTCTTGGCCCCAGAGAGTGAGGGGACTGCGCACACCTCATCCCCCAAGCAAAGCACAGCAAGGCAAAAAGTGAGATTCTGGGAGAGAGTTTCACACAGGCATGGAAAGACCTGCAGCGGCGATGCACGCTCGTGCCAGGGGGGAACTGCTGCGCCCTCTGTCTGACCCCAAAATAAAAGGATCTGAAACAGCATGGTGGTGGCAGAATAATTCCGAGGAGTTCTTTGTCAAGAGAACGGGAGTGCGAAACCGGAAAGTAAGCAGCGACTCTGTCCTACATGTCCACATTACAGGCACGGCCCATAGCATCGGGGGAACACTTAAGCATGATGACCACCACAAGGTCGAAAAGAAAAAGGTGTGAGCGCTAGTTAAAGGCATGTAATCCGTCAGCGATGCAGTGACCTGTGCAGAGGTTGAAAGGAAAATCGGTGGGATATCTTCTGGAATAAACTGCATGAGCCGAAATCGGGGTGAAGACTCTACCATCCGAAACAAAATTTGGAAGAGAGGTCGTTCACGTCAACCTTCACCACAAAGTTTACATCGATCTTCGTTGCTGCGACCTCATCCAGCCAAAGATCACCGGGGAGTGCGTTTTTCCGCTCAACCAGCCCCTCAAGCCTTTCAAACCTTTTCCGCAAGGGTGAGAAGGCACAGCAAAAAGGCAGAGCGAGGGTAAATGATTCGGTGGCCGTTGCGTTTTCTCCTAATTATGACTTTCTTTCATTAGGCTTGGAACTGCTAAGACGCCAGGCCGCTAGGCCCTGGCTCGTTCACGATATTCGTTCCGTTCCTTGTTGCGTTCTTTCAGCACGTGTATACAGTGTATACGATGCCAGAGGGAAGTAGGTCCCGGTCCGTGCCACGTAGCAGCAAAGTTGGTTCCCCCGACGGCAGCAAGAATCATGGGACACTGATCCTTCACAGGTCCAGCACAAGCTCTTCACTCTAAGGCTCTTAGGGTCAGATGCCAACTTCAAGCTTCAGTATGAAGCTGCCACATTAATGTTGCCTCAGTTAACAGTGTTAACAACCAGCCGACATTTGTTGCGGCCATGCTTTGTTTCGACCGCCCATCAGATTGCTCTACCCTGTGGAAAGAGACATGGGGATTCAAGGAAGGATGCCTATGAGAGAGAGATAGGCAGAAGGCAGACATTCATCTGAACGCAAGCATCAGCATGCAAGTTCCGTGGAATGTTCCAAGAGATGTTCCAAGATACTGGCTTGCTCGGAGGCAAACGCGAATGGACAAAGCTTCCTGGCGTTGGCCGCCGCATCACTGAATTTTTGGGTACGTGCCACAGAGCTTGGTGTTGGACATGGAGTCTGTCGAGAGGGTCTGTTGACTGGCGGTGATCTATCTGATGGTGCCACGCGAGGTGTCGATATCCTACATAGGTAGATGGTGGTTTTGGCGCTTTCAATCAAGATCTTGTGACTTCTGACGACACGTGCCGCACTGCCTATTCTACACGGGCATACAAGATTGCCAAACTGAATGTGAGGACCCAGATCGGGTGTTGGATTGAAGACTTGAAGTCCGTGCTTAGGTCTTCGGCCATGAAGCTTAAGCCAACTGATCTGCACAGCTGATAGTTAGATGAGCTGGGTTTTGTGCACATGCGTCCGCTGTTTGAAAATCCCGAGCCACCAGCAGTGCTCCCCGCACTCTGGTACACCGTAGTCCATATTTCACCGATGCTGCGATGGAAGTTTGCGAATTTCGTGCTTCCACTGCACTTCAGTTTCGTCTTTGCTGTCGTTTCGGCAGCTTGGGGCACGGAGCACTTACAAACCCCAAAGTGCAAAGTCCTCGATTGTGATGATCAAGGTGGTGTAGGACTGCTCCAATCAACTGCAGTAAACGTGAAGCCGCCTAGGCCAGGTTGGGATGACTTGAAGGAAGTGCCGGAAGTGGAGGAAAGTGGGGTGTGGCGTATCCCTCCTTTCGGCAACCGTGCTATGATCATGTTCAAGCACAGGCCCAGATGGCGCCGCCCTACCGTTGTCGAGGCAAAATTCAAATCAAGTGGCCCTGCGCTCGCTGTTCTGCGTTCAGCAGCAAGCCTGGCCGTCGTCTTGTTCTCCACAGCATTTTTTATCCCAGGTTGTGGGCTGGTGCTTTGTGCATGCGCCTGCTGCTTTGCTAGACGCCGATCCCCGGCAAGTCCATCGCCGGATGGTTTGGATGGAGGCGCGGCGCGTCAGTCCACATCACGCGATGCTGAAGCCGTACAAGCTGGCCTGTGGCCTGCTCGATCGGCGGTGGCCAGGTCAGATTTGGTCACTCTGGTCTGCCTAGTAGACATCCTTGGCAATATTATTTTGCTCTTCTTGCTCTCTCCTTCCGGCCAGAAGGATTCGGGATTTGCGCCGTCCGGCAACCTGGAGAGAGACAGACTCTTGAGCATGATGTTGGAGACCCTTAGCTCTGCGATCTTCCTGCTTGCTTTTGGCCGTTGGGAGCAGCAGCGGCATCTGGTCACATTGTGGCAGACCTTGCAATCGTTACGCTACTTCTTGATTCGTCGATCCCTTTTTGCAAGCCCATGGATGTTCTTGGGCGTAGCTTTTTTGCTACCGCTGGTCTCGGTGGTTGGCATGGTCTGCGAACTTTCCGTTGACCACCCGTTGCGCTTGCCGCCGTTTCTCCCCAAGAAAATGGATACTTATGCTGCAGATGGATGGCTCGGGCCGCGCATAAGCTACCAAATCCAAAGCAAGTACATGCGAGGCTTTGTCACGGCAGTGTGCATGACTGCTTACAGCACCAGGGTGTTTCTGCTCCTGTACATTTTCTCATCAGGACCACAACGAGATCTGGAGTACGTTAGCGATCAAGACTTTTCACATCTCGTTTGTATTGCCATCGTAGTGCAGATTGCCTCGTTCCTGCCGAATATCATTATGCAGCTGCAGACGGTGCCCTTGAACATGGCACAATGGTGGTCCCAATTGGAGTTTCCTCAAGCCTACAGGACAGAGAGCCGACCTGCAAGACCAAGACCAAGACAGCGTCGTATACATGTATGATTCATATGATCATAGAAAGGCTTCACGAGCTCTGGTGCCCAGTTCTGCCTCCATAAGCTTCCACAAATCGTCCGAACGTCAAAGTCGGCTTCTAAGAGCCCGAGTCCTCACATTAGTTCTCTCGAAAGCCACCTAAGAAGCAGGACTGGGCCCTTCGACACTCCGTGCCTCGCTGGTGAGATGGACGAAGGTTCAGAGCTCCAGGCAGCTCAATCTCTCTTTGTCTCTGTCTCGGCTGTGCTCGGCCCCTTCAGCGGAGGGAACTCGAGCAGTAGTTTGTTGGGGGGACGACGAGGTGGATGGTGGAGGGGTATGTAGAAAGGATGGCATGTGAAGTGTCAGGGTAAGAACCCGAAATTTGGGTAGGTCATGCGTCTCCATTTTGATGCAGGCCCGCCTGGCCAGCCACCAATGCCGTTCCATCACCGTAGTGATTCCGGCTTACATGCCCAACGAGGAGGATATTCTCATGGACTCCTTGGCTGCCTACCGCACGGAGCAGTCGAAATACCCCGGGGAATTCCGCGTGATGCTGGTATGGAATTCACCAGATGAGCATCCGGAGATGGAGGAGATGCTGGAGCAGCTTCAGACGGAATGGCCTGAGCTGTCTGTTCACCGGAACAAGCTCTCGACCACGAAATGCGACAACCTGAACATGGCCATAGAGATGCTTGAGACTGACTTTGCTCTGCTGCTTGGTTGCAGCCGACTCACAGTTCCCTCCCTATCAGTACCGAGAAGTTAAGGTTCAATGACATGGACACAATGGTTTCAGCTGCGACTATGTGCCGTGCGTCCCTGCACCTCTTCGAAGAGAGTCTTGCCGATCCGTCTTTGGAGTAGGCTGTAAGCTAGTGAGGATTATTGAACCGGTGTGAAGGAAGTGCTCCCGCGTGACACATATAATATCATATAATCAGAGCACCGAGGAACTGTGATACTGCGCAGTGCTATCTCGTGCACTGCTGGGAGGACTTCGCTGGGCTCCAAGATGCAGGCTACTTTCTGTGCGGCCCCCTCATCACGGCTTATGACTCGGTCTTGCATCTCTCCCAAGAGGTCTATGGCAGTTTGAGCCTTCCCTTCTGTAATGGTCGTGGATCGTTCTGGCGAACGAATGCCATCAAGGAAACAGGCTTCGACCATCGGACTCTTGCAGAGGATCATGATGCGATGTACCGGGCCGCAGCATTCCATGGCTTCAAAGGTGTTCTGGATACCAATATGCTTGCCCAGGAGCGCGTGCCTCCGAGCCTGAGCAGTTTAGTGTCGCAGCGGACCCGCTGGGAGAGTGGGCAGATGCAGAAGACGCAGGCACTGACCTGGGTAGTACGCTCCAAACACATCTCACTCTTAACGAAGATGGTGGTCTTGAACACGGATTGGTCTGAGAAGCCTTTTCAGGGGAGCCCTTTCATGGTCTGGCAAGTTTTGGCTGCAATCGTCATGATCGCTCGGCCGAACAGCTTGAACCCGATGCTGCGACTGGACATGGCAGGGCTGACCGTGAACCTGCCTGTGATTGTCCTCGGCTTGATCGTGCTCCCCATGTCCCTGAGATGGGCCACAGCCTTGCTGACGTCACGTTATCGCCCCCGGTGGCTAGCTTGGGTCCTGCAATCCTTCGTGCTTCCCTTTACCTACCATGTGATGCGAGCGACGATTGTGAGCTGCAAAACCCTCCACAACTCACTGTGGACAGGGAGGCTGGATTTTGTTTGCACTGCCCGTGATCGGACGCCCAGCAACTCGCCCACTGCAAAGAGCACAAAGAGCCGTGATGGCTCGCCCACGAAGCTGTCCTTCCACACGTGAAGACCGTGCTCTGAGCCAGAGTCCAATTTTGATAAAGATCTGATCTAAAACTTACTACAGAGCAGCGATTGGCAACCTAAAATGTGCAGCTGTAGCTTGGACTAGTGGCACGAGGCTGCATCGACGGCCGGTCGGTAGAGGGTGTTTCTTTGCGCCCTGCGCACTGAACGCCGGATGAAAAGCGATGACTCGAGCACCGGGCCAGCTGTTTGGCATGTGGGGCATGGCGTACACGCACATCTGCGATGCTGGTGGTACTTTGACACAACCTTGAGCGCGGACTGTCCATATGAAGCACAGCTAGCATGCCAAGTCGGCAAGTCATGGCTTTTGAACAGGTGCACATAGATTCTAGATGGTACTCTTTGGCTGAGGTTACGATGTGAGCGTTCATTGTTGGATGTTGGCAAAGGTTTTGAAGCACGTCGCCTTGAGATATCCAGAGCAGATCAAGGCCCGGTGACCGCAAGAAGGGTGGAGCTGTAATACATCTATATATACATATATACACATATACAGCTATATATGTAATGTATGTATGTACACATATATATATATAAATATATATATATATATATAAGTATGTGTATATATATATATGTGGAGAGATTGAGATACAGTATAATGCTTGTGTCACCTTCCCAGCCAGTCCTGATGAATCCTGTGTCAGATGCCTGGGAGGTCTTGATCTGTTCCACGGAGGCCTGCTCCGTGCTGACACGAAGAGAAGGGCATGATGCCTGAAGTGCTGGTAGCATGGAAAGAGGAAAGAGCTGATCAGAGATCCGTGGCTTGTGACTTGGCTTCTAGGCTGATCAGGGGAAGCCTCCCCTGCGCCAGCTGCTGCAAAGCTTGCCGAATCCGCGTCAGCCAGGCTGCGCATTTTCGCACCGAGACTAGGATGATAGGGACAGGCTTGGAGTGTTTACCTCAGGCAGCTGCGCAGACTTCCTGCAGGGAATCATGGTACTGCAGCCACAGATTCAGAAGCTTGAAGATTTAACACCTCATGCGTTCTGCCACTGCGGTTGGAATTCTGAAGCCAAGCTCTCGCATTCCATCTTGCAAGCTCCACAGGCTTCCCGCAGTCTGCCAAGATCCCTGAGCACTTTGCCGTGGCGTCAATGTTGAGTTGCGGCCTTTTCACCAGATGTCCGGTTCATTCTGGTCGTCAGTTTCTACGTCGCCAGCCGAATAGTCAATCCTAATGTTTCTGTGGCATGGCAGAGGGGTCACTTGGCCGGTCTTGTCCTACTTGCAACACGACAAGGTCCTCGGGCTTTGCATCGAAACAGGCAGCAGTCTAAATGAGCTCGAGCAGCAAACCGAAGCCCCAACTCGATGCTCTCAAAGCCTCAACGGCCCGAAACGGCCCGAAACCCTAAAGCTCCGAAGAAGCGACAAGCTTGAAGCAGAGCGACATACCGGGGAGTCCCGTCCCGAAGCCGGGCTTTTGAGCATCAGCTGGCATTGAACAAAAGGCTTGAAAGAGCAGCTAAACCTTGGCAGAAGCCGCTGCAGGGCGAATCTCAGAACTTGTCCGAAGAGCGCCGAGGTCCGGACTCCACAGGCCTTGCACTTGCAGCGCTCTGTCCTTTAGCGAAAGCAAGCAGCGGCTTCCGAGAGCTTTTGATGTAGGGCGGGTGCCTTTTGCGGACATCGCCTTCGACGTCACCACGGGCCCGGACACTCACAGCAGGCGGCGAGCTGAACAGGTTCTCGAGAGAGTCTCACAATTGGCGGGCCGTTCAGGTTCCTCGCTCATCGTGTGGTCGTTGGGGCACAGAGTCCCGTGCTGCTGAAGGCCCCTGAAGCAGAGAGAAGGGGCGCAACGGACTTGCGCAGGGTCTCAGCTCCGAGAGACCTTGCACCAGGAGCTGGAGACCCTGCCCTTGGTGGAGCTGCCGCAGGCACAATGCAGCTGGCCATCGCAGCATGGCCCTAGTCGCCTAGCACACAGCTCGACTTCTAGTAGCTCTGAACTTACGGCGTTGCGTCGCCCTGCGAACCGGCCAGGAAGGGATCACAGCTGCTGTCTTCAGGGTCGACCGGCGGATCTCCAAAGATGTGTGGAGGCCGTCCAGCACAAGATGAACCGACAATGAGTCTCACAGTCGTAGCAACTGGCGGTCGCGATGAATTATCCACAAGTTGGGTTCGTCACCGTGTCCGTTTCTGCCTTGCCCTTGACAAGCTGGGAAGTAAGGACATTTGCTGGATATTCTTCTACACAACACTGCATGCTTTCACATGGGTGCATTATTTTATTATTTTCCCACTGCCGCCTTTGCTGCATGTTGGTCCTGCTAGGGTGTACCAAGTCAGAAGTTCTTCTGCACGCGCTCGTCTGATTCTTTCTTGCTCCCTCCCAAGCAGACCTGGGCAGGGCCGTTCTTCAGTTCTTCTACACTGGGATGGTGTGTCAGCCTCAAACAGTGCGCTACGTTTCCCTGATGCGGCTGAGCATGCAAGGACTGAGGCTGTGAAGGTTGGATGTGGACTCAGTAGAGAAGGTCTCCGGCATAGTCTCTCCGTCAAAGGCATTGCCCCTTCGTGAAAGATCCTGCCAAGCTGGTGGCGCTCCCGGACGTGCATTCTTGTGTCTGGTTGTCGACTGCAGTCCGCCCTTGCCGAAAGCCAACGGGCGGGGGGGAACCCTCAAGATCCATCCCCACCCCGCAGGCCTGGGGAGAGGAGAGGGGTATTGAGGTGCGCATCATGATGTCAGCCCATGCTGCATGCTTTACGTGCTTTATGTTTTAAGAATATGATGGGCTGGACGCTGCTCCTTCTCCACCGAAGTGCGGACGAATCATCCCCTTGTAGCGGCAGGTATCAAGGAGGTCAGCCAGCTCTACATTCAGCCTAAACCCTAAACCCTAAAAGGCTGTTTTGAACTTGGGCAGAGCAGGTGGAGCTTTTTCGCGCAGCCGCCATCTACAAGCTGCCCAAGGCTCTGTTGGACCTGGCACAAGCTGCCCGGGCCACAGAGCTTTAGGGTTTAGGGTTGAGAGGATCACGGACAGTGAGCCCCGTTCCGTTCGTTACCGTAAACATGCGCACGAACTTAGAGTTACTGGCTCGACGGAAGCTGCTTTTCCATGCAGCTTGAGCGTCCTCTTGCCCATGTCCTTTTGCACCACCTCCAGCCAGCAAACATGGCCTGCGCCGATTGTGATGACGCCAGTATGGCATGCATCTTCTGGCCTTCTTTGCCTGCCGCTCAGGCGCTCTTTCCGCTACTGCCCTCCAGCCCCGGTTTGGCTCTCGACACTTGGCTGAGGAATCAAATACCAAGGTCCAAGGATCGAAACATTCCAGTATGCCGGACTGTCAGTCATCTTGGCATACAGAACGTTGCCTGTTGCAGCACTACGCCTGTGCTGCCTCGCTTGGAAAATAGTAGCTAGAAGCAGGATTCCCTACAAAATTGGGCACCAGAGTCCGTAGTCAGGGCAGACGCCACGTGTAACTCTTTCACAGTCTTACAAGCTCAACTAACAGGAAGCCAGAGTGTGTCGCCAACGGAACTTGCACCCTGAACAAACGGGAGGAAGTCTTCTCGATCAGCGCCGGTGCAAGTGGTGAAGGCCCTAGGGCGTAAGCTCCTGCCTCGTGCCACCCATCAGTGCAGCATCAGCTCCACTTGTGCTGTTTGCGACAGGCGTTGACGTGGCGTCGCTGCGCCTAGCTTCCACATTCGTGCTTCTGAGCCTCAGCTGCGAGTATGGTCAGCATAGTGTTTATGAAAGGAAGGGTTGTGCTAGCATATTGCAGTTGTCGATGTCGATGAGACCAGTTACCAGAATTCCGAGGGGTCATGCCTCGACAGTGTTTGCTGACCTGGCGCCAGAAACTGTGTGCGGGCCACAGCACGGATGGTGCCAGATTTGCATGCTGGTCTTGAATGCTGAGTGGCGAACTTCAGACTTTCAAAACCACGAAACACTCAGTCGTGACCCGAACAAGGGACTGCACAGATTCTGTGGCGGGTTCGGATGGTGTTGAGTTAGGCAGGCATACAACATGCGAAACACCGAGCGATCTGTCGGACCGGCGCATTGATCTTGCCCATCGAGTGAAGCTACAGTTGCAGAGCTTTGCCACATTCTTGCCACAGTGGTGCCTCGGGCGTCTCCTCATCCATTGGGATGTGCTAATGATTCATAGCTGTTCAAGGACGTGCGCAGCCGTAGGTCAATAGATATCTTCTGGATGTGTTGGCAGCACGACGTGCCATCCAGGTCGGGGGTTCTGGCGATGGGCTCAGTCCGTGGGTTCTTCTGATTTGATTTTGGCTGGGCCTCCACTTGGTCCCAAAGCTGCGATGTTCAGAGTGGATGGGGGGGGGGCCGTGCCACCTCACTAGTTGAGTTGTTGCAGCTGCCGCGAGCCATGCACTTCAGGAGCGTCTCTTAGCGACTTCTGAGCAAGCGATATTTTCGGCGCAGCAGGAGCCGTAAGTCTCGGGCCCTGTGTCCCTCGACTTTCCACGAAGAAGCTGGAGACAGGGTCAGCTAATCTCAGCCATGTCATCGCAGGGCCCAAGATGCACCGGATGCCTCTAAGGCAGAACTTGTACACAGAAGGCCCCTGCAAACTTCGGCCTCGAGCTTCGAGGTCGTAGCAGCTCCGGGTCGCCATTGATTAATGTAAATACTGGCAGGGGCCGATCAGAGCTCTGCAAGCGTGCCTGAGCTCTGATCTGCTCCAATGCATTGGCGGTGGACCCAAGCCCTCAAAGCCTTGGAAGTGCGCAGATCGCCAAAAAGGCGTTCAGACCAGGCTTTGTGTGTAGGTCACGGCAATATCCTCCATTCGGCGAGAACCTCCATCCGAGAGAATCATCCCAAATCCTCATGAACACGACGTGTTCGAACTGTGCCTGCGCAGCAACCCTTGAGCTATCGGAAGCAATCTTAAGCCATCACGCGACTGCCTTCAGAAAGGCCTAGATGTTGGCAGGGGCGAGTTGTGCCCAATCCGCGGGAGACTGAAAGGTCCCTGAACCTGAGGCCACGGAAGCCCCCGAAAGATCTGTGTACCGCACCGTACTGCCTGAGGCGTTTGTCTGGCTCCTGGCAGGGCTCTGTTTTTGGTCGTCATGCGCTGATGTCGCCGGCTCTCCTGCTTTGGTGGCTGCCGTGGCTGCTCAGAGCCCATGCTGGTAATGCTGCACTGCAGGACTCAGAAACAAACAAAGGGCTGACTGGATGTTTTGAATCTCCCTTTCCGTTTTAAGAAGTGAAGGGAGCACAGAAGCCATTTTCCAAACGGACGCGGTATTGCCCCGAAGCAGGATTTCGGAGATGCGCGTCTTGTGGCCACGGATCTGCAGTTCATGCAGGGCTCTCCTGCGGAAGCTGACGACTCACGGGCCTTGACACCGTACGAGCAGCAGGAGCGGCATGGAAGCGGTGCAATGGTAGCTGTGATCAATGATGGTGCAGTGGTGACAGCGATCGAGTGGCAGGGGCGTAGAGGTGAGGTGGTGACAAGGAGCGGGAGAGGCAGCTGGAAGGGATGGGAGTGACGACATTGTCGGCATGCTGATCCATATGGCCAGGAGTGACCGGGGCCGGTGTGGCAGGGGTGGTGACACCAGGGATGGTGCAGCGGGCAGCAGCCATGCTTAGATTCCTGTGATGCCCTCTGTGGGGTGACCCTGGGGACAAACAGAGGGACACTGGTTGGGATGAACCAGGGATCTAGCAGGGGAGGTAAAAGCCTCTGCCAAGCCCCAAGTTAAGTAGTTCACCTTCCATGAGTCCATGAGGGTCTGTGTTTCTTTTCGGTGCAAGAGTTTGCCACATGAGCATGGTCACTTACGGTTTTCCTCATCGAGAATCTCACCTTCCAGGTGCGGCGCAACATCAAGTACTTGAAGCAACGTGGCGTCACGGTTGACCAGGGCAACATTGGAAGCATGTTCTGTCTTTGATGCCTTAGTCCACATATTGATCTGCAAGATAAATCTTTCCACTCTAGGCAAATCTATCAAAGCCAGCCCGGTAGAGTGGTGCCTTTCCTAATTCCTTGTATTCTGTGCTCGCATACGGGCGACAGTGTTTTTCGATAAGATGATTCGAACAAAGCTTGCAGAGCCCCTACCTAAACCGTGAACCCTCCGGCCAGAGTCAGGTTCAGGAAGGATGGAACCTTTTCGAAGCCTATGAAACTTGGAAAGCCAGATTTGGCTTGCTGCCACATCCAGGTGTGATCCTCTTGGTGGGACTCTGGAGCTCAAATTCGGAATGTTTCAATAGGTGTAATGGCGTATAAGTGTAAGTTGCAAGCTTAGGTTTGCGAAGGAAGGAAATGCCTCTGCCGAAATGCGGATCGCTTAGGCTTAATCTCGCATTGAACGCGACATGTTTCTGATTCAAGCCATCCATCCATCCATCCATCCTGTTACATACATAAATACATGCATGTATACATATCCTACCTTTCAGGAGGAGGCATGCGGTATCATGGAGCTGTCGTGGAGATCCGGTAAGGGACCTCGTAGGGATTCTACAGTGTTCCGTGCTCTCGGAAAATTTTCTTAGAAGTGCTTAGTACACAAGTGTGAAGAAGACATGAGTCTGCATGCATGAAGCACTACTTTCCTTCGCCGAATCGCCACTACTCGCCATACCTCGCCCGACAAAGGATTATGGAACCACAATGTCGATGAGCAGGGTGCCATTTCAGAGGGCAAGCTTTCCGGCCGCCAGTTTTTGGGGCTTGCCATGGAAGCGTTGAAAGCGCAGTTTCCGGATGCCACCATTTTGGCCGTGAACTCCATCCGCCATTTGAATGTAACGATGGGTCCCATGGGATATGTGGGCTATTCCCTGAAGCAAGGCCACGGTATCGACATGCTCAGGTATCCACATGCAGTTCCCAGCAGAGAGCCCCTGGGGCTTGGCGTGGTGGCATCCGGTCAAACCCCAGGCCTTCATGACTTCCTCGCCCCAGGACTACCGGAATCAGGTGCCCAATATGATTTCGACATTATGGCCTATCTGCAAGCCGCACTATCTGCGGGCCAGCGGATTCTACAATTGGGGGGGAATCGGTTCCAGTTCTTCGTTGCTTTTTTGAAATACTTGGGCGAACACTCTTGGAAGCCCGGGTCACACCCTTCGAGCCTCGGAGAGACAACTTCGCCTACGCCGCTGCCAACCAGGGTGTCTTGTGTCCCTTTCCATCAGGCTGGGGCACTGGCCCAAGCGGATTGCCAGGAGGAAATGGTCCCTTCGCCTCCTTTCACTTTTCCAGAGCTCGTGGAAGCCACAGGCTCCGCATCAGCTGATACAGTCCTAACTTGGCTGGATGCTATACCATCGGGCCTTCTGCAGCACAACCATCAAAATGTTTCGTGCGAAGCATTGCGGGATGAATTGCGCCGCACACGCCAGGACTGAGCACTTGAAGGCATTGATTCTGTCAATGGGCTAAGCTTTGAGAGACATGCACGCATACCTTGGTGACACTCTGATTTCTGTGGCTCCGTAAATCAATGCCTTTCTACCTGCATTTCGATTAATCGGCATTACATCTTGCTTTACATCTCTCTGTCTCTCTTTCGCTCTCTCCCTCTCTCTCTCCCTCCCCTCCCTATCTCTTTGTCTTTGACCTGGGCTGCCGTGAGGATGTCAGTCTTGATGATGCAAGAGGTCTTGGGCCATGGTCTTTTCCTGTTCGACAATGGTGCACAGTGTATATGGGCGCCAGTTACGGGTCCGATCCTTCATACCGAGCTTCTGCCGAACATTTTGGACGTCTCTTGGCTCAGAACGGCATCGGACTGTTGTATGGCGGCGGGAATGCAGGTCTAATGGGTGCTGTGGCGGATGCAGTGCTGAGGGAAAGTGGCTATGTAATCGGGGTTCGCCCAGAAGGCAACTTGCTGACAGCAGAGCATGAGCACAAAAACTTGTCTCACATGATTTTCACAAAATCAATGCATGAACGCAAGCAGACTATGGTCGATTTTGCTGACCTTCTTGTGGCACTCCCCGGTGGCTTGGGAACTCTTGATGAGCTGGCCGATGCTGTTGTTCTTGCCCATCTGGGCACGCACAGAAAACCACTTTACCTTCTAAACACCACCTTCTGGACACCCCTCCTGAAGTTTATCGAAAACATGGAGACTGCGCAGTTTCTCGGAGCCGGGCGCTTTAGCAAACTGGTGAAGGTTGTTGACAGCGCCGAGGACATCTTCCCAACCCAGGAAAGAATCGAATCCGCCGCCGAAGCCCAGGAGGCTGAGACAAGTCCCTGCTCTTTCCTGCAGCTTGAAGTCGTCAAGATTCGCAGCGACGGCTGCCCTTTCCAGGTTGGCTTTCTGCCGGCTTTGGCAGCCGGATGTCTCTGCGCAGTCTTGATCGCCTCCTTCGGTGTGCATTCGACATCTGTATCCTCAGGCCGCTGTATTGTGGACCTCTTCATGCTGATTACGGTTCTGGCTGCAACCTCCCGCATGATCAGCGTTCCAGATTCACATGCCCTTGCCATTGCTCTTGGCCAAAGAGTTTCCTGGTCAGGCCTTTACCTTGGCATTTCCAAGTGGGGTGACATAATCGGAAATCTGTTGTGTGCTTTCCCCCTCAACTATTGGCCGGACTTCTGGCGCAGCAGCAGTCGCGAGGCAATGATTTGCGGTATGACAGTGATGTCAGCAGGGTCAGCGCTCTGCCTGGTGACGCTCTCGCGAGTGTCAGAGGACTCTGGCGTAAGGGATTCTGCAACGCTGCCGATTCTCCTTTGTGTGTCCCGCGCCATCATCGGAGTCGGCAATGGCATCGTCACGCAGCTTGTGATTGTGCTCCTGTCGAAGTTGACACCGCCAGACGACTTGCCTCAAGAGTTCCAGCGCGCGATCTTCTATGTCACTGTCGGGACAGGCCTGGGCCCCTTGGCTTCTGCAGCAGGCTACAGCTTGGACGTTTGCTCTACCACGGCACCTCAGTTTAAAACAGTTGGTATCATTCAGCTGATCCTGCTATCGTCCGGGTTGTGCGCGGTCATGCTCTTCTACCCATCCGAAATAGGCAGCAAAGATGTCCAAGTCGCAGAAGTTTCAGAGCACGAAGATGCAGCGCTCAACAGGATTCCCATTATAGCAGGCCTGGTGCTGTGCGCACTGCGCAGCTTTGTTGCTGGCTCTGTTGAGGTGGGCACACCACTTCTTCTGGAGGACCGTTTTGGTTGGAGCATAGCTACCACCGGATTGATCACAGGTGCTGCTTTCCTTGTGGGCATTCCGATCAGATTGGCGCAAATGAGTGCCGGGCGTCAACTGAGTGAAGTTGCTTGGATCCGCTTATTAACGGTGGCTGCAACACTGGGCACTTTGCTCCTTCTCCGTGCAGCTAGCAAGTTGCTGCCTGGTGGCTACTCGCTTGTTCTTGGGGACATGATCATTTTCCCATCCATCTACTTGAGTGAAGGGTTGGCGCAAGGATTCATGATGCGATTTGTGCCCCACGGCGGCTCAAACCTGTTCTTCGAAGCGAGTTCAATCGCTCTGATCATGGACATGCTGATCAACGCTTTCCTAGGCCTGGGTGCCGTGGGAGCCCGGAGTATCATTGAGGCAGGAGCAGAACGGGGACAAGATTTCAACGCCGGCATGCAACTTCTATGCTGTGTTATATTCCTTATCATTTTTGAGCTTGGCATGGCCCGCTATGTTCATGACAGCAAGAGCGAGTAAGCGAGCAACGATTCGCTGAACAGCTCTTATGTGCATTAAAATTCACCTGACGTCTCTTGTTGTGACCCCTCCGGGCCACTTGCTTTTGATGAACATCCAGCTGTCGTAGCAGCACAGCTGCCAAGTACAAACCTGGTTTAGAAGTTTAGATTTTAGATCGACTGCCAGCCTGTAGAGGCAGTCAGGCAGTCAAAAAGCTGGCCAGAATCTGTGCGCACACGCATGCCAATAGAGAGAGCTGCACAGGAGTCGCAGACATGTATCAAGTTGCTGATGGGCTCCCTGACGAAGGAAATTGATGAGAGGCCTTAGAAGACCTGAAAGACATGCTGCCGGGGAACTGAGCGAGAACTGCAGGAATGTATCGACAGCCCGCATCACGACCCTGCAACAGCAACTTTGGACCAGAAGAAGAGCGGCAGCAAGAAACTCAGCGACTGTGCCGATACGTGCCCAGGTTGACCCAAACATTAGGACCAAGAAGCGGTCTGGTTTACCCCTGAAAACGCCTCAAGGCGTCCGAGACAAAGCGGTCAGCAAAGGAAGACCGGTGTGCTTTGCCGCAGCCATGCCGGCGCGACCTCCAATCTCGATGGGCATGTGCGCAAGCCAGTTTGAACACCGAACGTTGGGCAGGATCCGCTCCGCACAGGTATGACCCGGATAACCACCGGGATGCATCCAAGCTGTCCATTGTCAAGAAGGAGAACAAGGCTAGACCCTGCGAGGTCCTGCAAGTCTAGGGCAGTATTCTTCAGGACAGCACAACCATGTCCTTCCATGGCTTAAAAGGATTACGGAATCCCGGAATGCCGCGTGGAATAAACGACACATCAGTGCTGCAGGCAACATCAGTGATGAATCGTGCAGCTGCATGCACGCTTAAATGGGACTTGATGTCCAGCTTGTCTTTGGCGCATGCTTTCTGGTGGGATTTTTGAAGATGCCGCCTCCGAAGCTGGACTGCCTGGTGATACTAGTAGTACACATCTAGTCAATCTAGTCCTTGATCGACAGTGCAAAGCTCTGATATTCCGTGATCCGGTGCAGGCGGAGGAAGAGATGAGCAAAACTATGCGGGAGATCGAATTGAAGATCCACAGTACCGGCGAGGCCCGCAGAAACCTCGAAAGGGGTCCGCACACTGACATGCATGTGCTCTTTGGCTGCCGAAACCTAACCTCCGCGCAGACATCGCTCAGATAAGCCTGGCAAGCATGCATGCCCTGGCTACTGACAGCAGAGCTCAATGAGCACGGGGCAGACCACGTGAAGCACGCGGGCAGAGGAGACCGAGAAAGTCGATTTTACAAGGTACCACGGTTAGGCTAGCTGAGTGGCCACACGAGCAGGCATGCTCTTGAAAACGAGATAGTCATCTCAGCTCCACTAGAAGAGGGGTTGCAATGCCTGCCCTGGCACGTGTGCTGCTGCAGGCCTATCGGATGCCGGCAATGGTCTGTACAACGGCAATGTCCTGAGTGGGATCCAGAAGGATAGATTCATGCTGAGGAGTATCAGTGTGGCCTGAGAATGAAGCACTTTAGAGCGTGATGATTCCTGCATGTTGATGTCAACTCGGCATGTGTGAAGCGCGGCAACTGACAATTTTATAATTCGCGGTTGAAGAAGTCTCGTGACCGAGGTCTGGGACATCAAGCTGATGCTTGCTGAGAGACTGGGCATGGATCCAGGTGGGCGGCGGTCACGGCTGACCATAACTTGTCCCTTGTAAGTCTGCGATCGCGTGGGTCAATGTTTCGCCAGTTGGCAGTGCCACATTGCCGCTGGAAGCAGAATCGTCTCGAAATTCGCTCGCTTGCTGCGTGCTTCACGAATCATGCCTGCGACCCTTGCCCGGATGAAGCTTGAGACTCGTCGCCGCAAGACCGCATATAGATTTGAGGGCTTCGTGAGCCCCATGCCCATGCAGGTCAGATGACCTTTGTCACGAAGCAAGGCTTGGTTGGCGGTGCTGTAGTGTCAACGATAAGCGAACGGTCGATTCAGTGCGCGCAACAGGCAAGCATTTGTCCATCGCGTTTCGGCATCCCAGCAACCTAGAAGGGAAGCTTGCGATCCAGAGATGTTGAACGCAAATTTTGGTCCGGCAGAAGGGCTGTGGCAGCATACTTGCCAGTTCTACCCAAGTAGCGAGGCTGATGCAAAGGAGAATTTTCATGGAACCAACTTGACCTCAAGCAGCGGGAGCAGAGCGATGGGTCCAAATAGTTTCGGAAGCGCAAAGAAAGCTGAATTGAGTGCGGCGTCCGAAGCTGCGACACTTCTGCAGGCCCGTTCTGGAGGGAAAACAAAGACCCCGAAGAGATCGCCCGCAAGGCACACTTGACATGGAGCCTGGGTTGTCTTTTCATTGGGAGATACCGTGCTGTTCGATGTATGTGTCTGTGTCTCTATAATTCTCTATAATATATATATATACACACATACATACATACATACATACATACATACATACATACATACAGAAATGTCCATGTGCGTGTGTGTGTGTGTCGGATGTGGTTTGGGTGGAAATGTGTTCTCTTGCTGAAAATCCAGCCTGGAGTGACATGTCTTGCGCGCTTTCTTTGCTCAGGTCTTGGTGAAGGGCATCAGGTCGTTTGAGCGTCCTGCTCCAAGCCTCGATATGCCAAAAGTCGTGCCTCCGACAATGTGACATCCTACCATGCCGGATCATGGCGGACTCTCTTCCTGTTGCATGAGTGGAACTCTAGGGACTCTAGGGGGTCGGAACTAAGGCGAAAGACCAAAGCATGAGCATCCTTTCGTGCCTTGGGCTGCCTTTGCACGCCTGTCACAGGGGAGGATTTTGCGCTGATTATCGAAGCGCCATTTCAGATGTCTGTTTGGGCTGGGGTCTGCAGCACCAGCCAAAGACCATAGGACAAGTGGCAGCTGCCCGTAGCTATGTCAAAGATGATGCAATAATAATGCTGACCAGATTCCGTGGCTTCGGGCTTCCTGATCCTGAACTAAAGTATGTTTCAAGCAGGGGGCTTCCTGTCAACTGTTGACGACACGTTAGAGCCCGACCCTCGAGGTTATGCACCATTCTGAGGGCTTTGCACTTTCCACTAGTCACTAGTCTATTTCCTGGGGCCTGCTTGACCACCTGCTTTCGAACTTCGTGTTTTGGGTAGTCTTGTGATGTCAGGCGAAAAGGGTTTAGAGCCAAAGAGCCCCACAAGCTTGTGGGTGAGTCTTTGCTTGAAGTCGACAGATTCATGAGAAGGCGGGATGATGATCTGCCATAGTCCGAGCCCGCTTGAGTATTCAGTCTGTCAGTGCAGCCGCCGAGTTTTCGGGCATTTAGGGTAATTCAGCGGCCTGTGTGCGCTAGTTGCGTTTGGGGTGCGTGGGAATGTCTCCGCTGCGTTTGGGGTGCGTGGGAATTTCGGGTGTGTTTCGTGCAGCCTTGCTTCTTGGAAGTTTACTGTTCGGCTAGAACTGTTGGAACTGTTAGAACTTTTAGAACTGTTAGAACTGTTAGAACTTTTAGAACTTTTAGAACTTTTAGAACTTGTAGAACTTTTAGAACTTTTGGAACTTTTAGAACTTTTAGAACTTTTAGAACTTTTGAATTTTTAGGACTTTTAGAACTTATAGAACTTTTAGAACTTTTAGAACTTTTGGAACTTTTAAAACTTTTTGAACTTGTAGAACTTTTAGAACTTTTAGAACTTTTAACAAGTTCTGAAAGTTCGAAAAGTTCTAAAAGTTCTAAAAGTTCTAAAAGTTACAAAAAATTCTAAAAGTTTTAAAAGTTCTAAAAGTCCTAAAAGTCCCAAAAGTTCTAAAAGTCCTAAAAGTCCTAAACGGTCTAAAAGTTCTAAAAGTTCAAAAAAGTTGTATATGTATATATATATATGTACATATATATACATATATATACATATATATACAGATATAGACATATATATATATACATATATATATACATATATATATATATTTATACATATATATACATATATATACATATATATACATATATATACATATATATACATATATATACATATAGATAAATATATATATATA